TGTGTTTAGCAGATAAAAGTATGTCGGAAATGATTATTTACACTCGTGATGCAAAAAAAAGATCAAATTTTGTTCCACAATGCAATTTGTTGGTCTTGAAATACATTTGCCGGAGTCGTAAATATCACGAACTAAATTAAGAAGCAATTTAATAATCTTGATGCTAACATCTTAAAATACTGTAAGAAATTTATTGCGAAAAATAACATCCCGGCCAGGGATTCGAATCGGGACTTCCCTACATTCCGTGATGGCAGTGTCTTTAATTCGACCACTGAGGCATGGTAACATTTATTAAATTTTTTTAATTAAATTTACACTATTCTTATATTTTATATCTCAAACTTGTATAGCTTAAGTTTTTCTTAACGTTTGTTTTTTGATTACTAAATAACGGCTAATAAACACGGTTTGTGTCAAAACATATTTTCTTGTAGCGCCATGAGTGCAAGCTAGCTGATGGTCTCGCAAGCTTCGAATGGGGTAAAATAAAAATTTAACGATTCTAAGAGTGAATCCCTGAACCCGTGCGCACGATGCGTTACTGCCACACCCCATAAAAGAAGCAAGTAACGAAACGCCAATTCGCGAAAAGCGAATTATATCGTCCGTCGCATCTGGCACGGCATCAACTGCAGAAAAGTTGAGAAGCGCGAATCCGTACGTACGTTCGGCTATTTCGACGGAAGCAACATCTGCTGGGTCCAGCGCGCCGCGCCGGGCCCTTAAAAAGGCCAATTTGCCCGGACACGGTTGCACGTTCGCGCAAACTTCCCAACAACTTTTTGCCCGATGTTCTGCGGTATATAGCGTATAGCTGCAGCCACCTCGTAGCGAGTATGTGACGGATCTCCTGCATCGTACGTTGCAGCGGCGTGTTGCGACATTATTCCGTAAAAGATGTTTTCTCGTGTCACCTCCCTTTTTCGCGCGAAAGTCGAGATGTGATTCAAGCGCACTAATATTTACTCTGTTGCCACGGCGTGATAAAAAAATAGGGTTGTACTTCTTAAGTCTATAATTTCCGTGCAATATATTTTTTAATAACATTACATGTGATTTTAAAATGTTGTTTATATAAAATTATGTATTTAATATATAACTAAATAGATCATTTTTTATTATTTTATTTTATACTAATCCGTTTGATATGTAGTAAATTCACTTTATTTTCTTTACAAGCAGTCTTGAACTCGCAAAATAAAATTTTTGATACAAATGTAGTGTTACAATCAAGATGTATACCCGTATATATTTAATTTTTACAATTACAATTCTAGATTTATAAAGAAAGTATAGTCAACTTTCATGATGTCAAAATATAATTCAAGATATTATTTATAACGCAACTTGCAAAATTTTAATACTTTGTTTAATTCCATGAATTTCTGTTAAAATTAAATAATTTGAAAAATGTTAAAATGATTGACATTTAAGAAAAGATTTTGTAGTAATAAATCAAGATAATAAAGCAAATTTAATAAAATTTGTAAAATAACTAATCGCGATCGCCAGTAAATAATTTCAGATATCCAAAAAAAACTCTCTTTCATCTTCTTTTACCCTCTTTCCTCTGTAATTTTAACATAAATTTTCTTTTAGAAAAATATATGTTTGATCTGTGACCCGTTTATAATACACAGAAAATAAGTCTGCTCATCATGCATGTGGCAAATGTGTGATTATACTTATATTAATATACATGGGCTATTCCATGTGAAGCGGATCAATCATCTCTTAGAAATTTTTTTAATTTTGCACAAAGATAATACTTTGGCAGATAAAATTTTGTGCCAAAGGATTTTTTTATTGCAAAATTAATCGAGATATAAACAATTAAAAATTAGACTACTTTATTTTTCAAGAATTTATAACTCTGTTACTAATAATGCTAGCTAACTTTTTTTTTAAATAAAAATGTTCTAGTTCACGAGAAAAAAATGAAGATTTTAAAGAGGTTTTGTTTTCCATTGTTTATTTAACAATAAACTTTTTAACAAATTTTTTAACAAACGGGTAGAGAGTCGAAAAAATATTTTATATATACTTTCAGTTTTCCTACATCTTAGAAAAAAAAACTCAAGAACGTGTTTTACTTTGTTTTCAAAGAAAAAATTTTTTTATTTCTCGATGTGGGAAAAATCTTTCGACTCTCAGCGTGCGATCACTCTTACAAAACAG